ATAAACTGAGATTTCGTTGAGAAGCACATCGTTCTAGCAATCGTTTCAAGTCACGCATCTCCTGGTCGGACATCGTAAGGAGGTTACTGCAATCATTATTACATTTTCGATGCAACCCGCTTCATCATATCTTCCACCAACATTTCATACTCCCTATCCTCCTCTTTCTGAAAGCTGAAGGGAAGAACTCTGTAGCACTAGTCTTAAATTTACGATGAAAATATTCAACACACTTTTGACTTGATTTGTTCAGAACGAAATTTTGGTCGATGATATATTCATCTAAAATATCAAGGTCAGTATATCACTAAAGGACGAGTGCTGGAAGCAATTCTCCCAGAAATAAAACGGTTGCGACACAAAAAAGTTGGCCACGGAATTTTTGAAGTGGTCGCTATTGCACCTGCGGATCAACATTGCAACGCAGAGAGAGTGCTGTCATACAAAAACCTGAGCATGAGGAGCTCCGGTCAGTGGAGAGCTTGTGAAGCAGTGGGCGTCGATTACGCTGTTCAGCTCTTGGAAATCCTAAAAGATCACTAACTACGCCCCAGAAAGAACTGCACCATGTTGCAGCTCTGTGGATGGGGTGCTGGATGAGTTAGTGGGTCCTCATAGTCAACGAAGCAGGTGTGGGTTGATTGCAACAGATCCAGGTCACCTCCAGCCACGTCATTCGCTTGAAAGCCTTGTTGGTACAGGGAACAGGTATCGATTCACATTTGTTACGAGCAAGCTGTGCATGGTTGGTCGGAAAGTACGACATCCGTTCGTACTTCTTCATGATAGCTCACAAAGTGTAAGTATTTGTCAACGGGTGACATCGGAGAAGCAGAGGCCTCCAGTGGCAAGTTTAGCCCAAGTACTTCCCGCTTTCTTAAAAGGTCATCAGTGGTCCAGAAGAAGGACAACTTCGCATTTCACGTCACAGTTGTAAAAACACTTGCATTTGGAGCAAACCGTCGATTTCTTAGTATTAGTGAATAATAGTGTGATGTTGATTTTGTCACCAATCAACGTACTGATGCGGAAAGGGTTGTTGAGTTACATTCGGCGCTCCGTAGGTGACCGTTGTTATAGAATATTTTAAAATGTACTCCAACAAGGTAGAAGTCGGTTCCAAAGTGTAAGAAGGAATTGAAAACAAAAATCGATAAAGAACTATTTTCGCATCTAGTAGTTGTAGCAATTTATTCCTGATAACACTCACCGCTCTATAGCCTGCCTGCGAACCTGCTCAACATGTCGTTTGAACGCTCCAGAAGTGATAAACTGCTCAAGATGGAACATTTGTTCAGATAGTTGAAGAGATGATACTCCGTGATGGTAGTCCTCAAATCGTACCATAACCCACTTGTACGCCTCTTGGCGTGTTACCTTTCGGTCCGCTTCCCTAAGATATCTGAAGAACGAGGTGATGAAAAACATTAATAAACAATGAACAACAAATTACATGCAATTGGTTATAAAATGTAACATTTTTTAATCTAATGTTAAAAATTGGTTCTGGTTTTTAAAAATATGAAGTGAATAAAACCGATAAACAGCTGAGTACTATCGACATTCATAGGTATTCATAAAATTTTTTCAGAAACTTGAAGGACACCTAATATGATCGAATACTGAGATGAAGCTCGAATAAATGGCTTTTTGTCTCTGATGGATTTACATCCTCCATACAGATCAATTCAAACATCGCATATGTACTGCGCGCCTTTTTACTCCGCAAGTAGAATCTGCCAAAAGCATAAAGTGACTGGGAAGTATATGACAGTATATGACAATGGTTCGGTGCAATCTCCAACAAACAAATCGTATCTATAAACCAGGAAAAACTTATAAGTTATGTATAAAAGCATCATCCAATTCCTGCAACTTCAACAGATTTGCTACTTTCTTATACCCTCTTGATAAAAATGAAAACAAAAGATGTAATAGGAAAACCATGACACTCTTCGTTCTTTGAGTAAATACACCGCAACAGACAGCTTAACGATAGCGAAAGCAGCCAGTGGAAACTTTACTGGTCCTGATGTGCACTGGAAGAAATTCAGAAATGTTTCTTGATTGCTACCATAAGAATATGATGAATCACCATTAGTCCTCACCAAAGACAACGAACTAATTCAATACTAGCAAGTATTCGAGTCAACTTCGAAATGATTCTATATAAATCCTTTTTGCAAAATCCCACGTTCCTAAAAAATTCCACCTTCCACAGGAATTCCATTTACCACATTATCGAAAATTTTAACTTTTTCTTCCAGGGTCCAATTTCAGACATTTGGAATAACTTCCTAAAACCTTTGCCGTGGCACGCAGACGAAATCTGTAAATCGGTTTTCTTTCACCTTAAACAAGGAAATCTGGCCGATAAGGGTCTTCTCCATATGTAGATTTACCAATAACACAGTCTTAGTTTAAGATAACATAGCTGGGACAGAAACAATCTACAAACATGCGAAAGTATGATACAAGCTTTTCTAGTTTACTGGTATTAAATTTTGCATTCCTTTTTAAAGCCTGCAAATTCCTTTTTGCCCTACATCGTTTGCGCTCATCCTTCAAAAACTGAAACGAATTAACAAGCCGAATTTCGCCCAGTAGAAAGCGATGCAGACCTGAAATTCCTCGTAGATGCTTGTGCTTGCCAAACTGCTGTCAAAATTTTAAAACGTGGAAAAGTTCAAATTCCGCTTATAAATCCGTTAAAAACTTGGGTTCTATACGAATATGAACTAAAATATCGTTATATAACGACAACATAATACTTTAAATGAAATGTCAAGTTTTCAATTCTTCAAGTGTTCTAGTAATCGAAAAATTACCGCCAGCAGAGCTAGAAAAACCGCCTTTCTCTCCGAATGCTTTAAAGATGTAACGAACTGGACAAGCAATTTAATAGGAAGAAAAAATACTTCTTTGTTGTTTCTTACTGCTGAACTCTGCAGCTACGTTTTTCATCACGTTGATATCTCAACCCTTGATAGATGACACTGGACCATTCGGAGGTATTCGTTGCGTTGAGCGTGAATGAGTCATACGCAACCAATCCGTTCCTCATGACCATCGTTTTCGTGAGATTTCTTCGACGACCAATTTTTCCACAAGCTTTGTCAAAGTCGGTAAGCAGTCGCTCCATTTAGATGTTTAGTGTAACAAGGACGATGTCATCAGCAAAGCTAAGATGGTTTAATTGCCAACCACCGATTTTCACTGCTATATTATCCGAAATTCCGATCTGATGGTTTCGACCTCGAAGCAAAGGAAGGCCGCGAACGTCCCAGTGAACTTGACGACAACCAATTGAAGGCACTAATCAAAGCAAACACGCGAACAACTGTTCGAGACCTTGCAGAACAGCTTGGCGTAAGCACAGGAAGAATTCCCACTCACTTGAATCGCACAGGAAGGAAAAAAAACACAAGTGGGTGCCGCACGAATAAAACGTTGAGCAAAAAGTCGCCATTTTGAAGTGTCCTCTGCTCTTACTCTGCGCAACAAAACTACCCTTTTCTTGATTGAATTGTGATGTGCAACGAGAAGTGTATTCTATATGGCAACCGGTGATGTTCAGCTCAATGGATGGATTGTGACCAGGCTCCACAGCACTTCCTAAAGCCGAAATTGTACCAAGAAAGGTTACGGTGACTGCGTCACTTCCCTGTTCAGCAATCGCGAGGTTGTTATACAGCACACATTTACATCCATAGAAGAACGCACAATAAAATACAACAGTAGCTAACCCTTCGGTAGTATCGCCTTCTTCAGAGCCGCTTTTTGACGTGACTATCAACCATATACGACTATAATCAGCTGATCTAATCTTCTTCAATGGAAGTCACGTGAAAAAGCGGCTCTGAAGAAGGCGATACTGCCAAAACATCAGCTACTATTGAACTGTATTGTGTATTTTTCTATGGAAGTAAAGGTATGCTGTATAACAACCTCGCGATTGCTGAAGAATAAAACGACGCATTCGTATTCCAGTGCCGAGGTTAATAGAAAGTCGATCCTGGAAACTGTTATGGTGACTGTTTAGTGGCCTGCAGCCAGGCCGATTCATCACAGCTCACGGTAGAGAAGTACTGCCAACGGACCGACGAAACACTGGAAAGGACCAACCCTTCTCCACGACAACGTCCGGCCACACGTTGTGGAACCACTTAAGTTGGTTATTTTCAACAATTTCCCTGATTTTTAATTGCAAAAAAGTAAGAATCTACTTTACATATACAAATTCACGTGGTATAGAAGGAAATGGAAATAGATCAAGCGAACCCGACCAGCTAAATCAAAAAGTCCATCTCCGTAAATGTTAGAGAAGACACTGACAAACAAATCTTCAAAGAATACCAGTATTTCACAAACCAAGAAAAAACTTACCCAATGGAAAACCTACGGAAAGCACATAAAATAAGAAAAAAAAAAGGGATAGAAAACGATGCAGAGTAACCGAATTAAAACCTGACGAGCGGCGACATGAGGTATTGGAATCACCAAAGGATGATGTGTTTATTGGCTATGCAAAGCGACTACAGTAGTCGCTCTTTCAGTATTTTTTGACAGTGGACACAAATAACCACAGTGAAATATTTTCAGCTGTACCGACCCATGATTACACAAATCGAAAGAAAATCGAAGCAACTAAAAAGCCAATATTTCCCAACAAAATGAAGATCGGAAGAAAAAACATTGCAAAAGCGAAAGCCAATTTGGTCCTTATGGAGGAAGAAACATAAAAATTTGTAAACCTAATGCAAAATGCTAACGGGTTCTCAAATAAGTGGGCCCTCTTGTAAATAGAAGATTTCCAAGGTGATTTTTTTTTAACATGTATGCGAGCTTATCCTAAAGCGAAAACGATGTTTGCGATCTGGAGGTTAACGTCCTTTGTATTCTGGTAATCCCTGCATCAGAAACGAAGGTATGGAATAACATTGATTCTGATTACCTGCGTTACATGCGAATATGTAAAGGAAAACACTACAAGAAAGAACTTACGTCTCACACATATGGACTTTCGCCGTTTCTAATGAGAATATCTGATTGAAAAGATTACGCGAACTTGCAAGATCAACGACATGCTGTAAGAGTACTCTAACAACAATGTAATTTAAACATTCATGCTCGAATATCATACTAACCTGTACTGCATTCTTTAGAAACATTCGCTCTGGGCGATCATGTAAATCGGCAAGCTCCACAGTCACTCCTCTGTAAGCTTTCTTTAAGTCTTCTGACCGCTTGGTAATCAACGTTCGTATGCGATTTGCCTCAGTCGAATCAACACCATGATGCTAAAATAAAAAATGAACAAGATTATAATACACCAAGAAGTGATAAGTATCAAATCTTCATACAAAAAAAACCCAACCTTAACATCTTCAATAAGCATTGCTTCAAGTTGTTGCATGATTTCATCATTCCTTTTCTGAAGGGCAATTAACTTGTCGCCTCGGAATTTGATCCCCACAATTGCATGAGGCTCCAAAATACCTGTGATTGGCACAGTAGTGTAAGAATTTGTACAAAAAAAAAAAACCATTATCGAGGAAATAACCAATAAAAGATGATGTACTCCGTTAACTATAAAAGAGCTGGCCCATGGAAAAGGCAGATCAGTTATAGAAACTTTTCTTGTCACTATTCTGTATTTTGTTATCAACTTTAGGAAAAAATTAGCTTTTAGACAACTTTTGCAAAGTATTACAATGAAAGACATAGTTAAATACGTCATAATTTTGCTCCGTTTCTTCATCACATCAATTTAGAATCATCATACATTAAAACGCACGCCTCTTCCAAAAAAGAACACTTGGACACAATAACACTCAATGAATAGGATAATTACTTTTGGTGCTTGAAAACGAAATCTAAGGACAACAGAATAAATTCCGCACCTCCTCGTGATTCCTTGTCAGCTACCATGCTTATGAATCCAGGATTGATTTTACTGTCTAGCACAACCCAAGCACCACCACGAAGCTCTCCTTGACAAGGTATATAAATTATTACTGGCATCCGATACTGCCGAAGAGCATCTACTATTTGAGCACCAAACTTGAGCACCATTTCGAACATATCTAAGCAGAGTGATAATTTAATGCGAATGGTTTTAACTTATATTTAGAAACTAGATCGCTCAGGTTAAATTACCTCGTTGACCACCAGAAAATCCACGCAGAGATGCGATAAACAAAAGCGGTAAGCCCTCCCGGTTGAAGTCGCCAATAACCTCAGCTGTTTTGAACGCCGAGTCCGGATACCACACTTGACCGGCTTGGTGAATTTCAATTGACTGACTATTTGGGCAGGCAGGATCAGCAGGAATGATGGACGTTACGTTCCGAAGTTCGGAGGACACCACTCCAATAGGAATACCACAAATACGTGCACGACCAGCTCAAAAACTTACAATGTGCTCAATGCAAGTGCAGACTGGAAAAGAAAAGCTATAAAGTCACCAATGATCGTTTTCGCCCAGTCATTCATGATCTCGTCGAAGGAATTAGAGTCACAAATTCCGCGAATTTCCTCCGAATCTCGACTGTCGATCAGCCGGCGAATATCGTATGGCTTATTAGGTTCAATTGCAAACTTCACTGGACGTGGAGTAGAGTCGAAGCCCAAACTGCGACGGTAGGGAAAAGTTGGAATCTGAGACTTAGTTAAAAGGTGAAATTTACAAAACACAACTGCACAATTAAAATTAGAACCTCATCAGGCAAGTAGCTCATCCACTGTATGATCTTACAGATTCCTTCGAAATCGTCATTAACGACGGCGTGCGTTACTCCATTCTTGAACATGATTTGAATGCCTCCAAGTTGGTTGTTCGATGTATACACCTACACCAAAATTATAAAAAAGAAACCTTTGTCGTTCGTAAAAAGTTTTAACTAGTTAACCTCTTTTCCCAGCAAAGTGTTCAGGGCAGGCGCACCAGTGAGAATCAGATGAGACGAGCGAGTCTAAAGAAAGGCATAGGGAAACTAGCACTGAACGGTGTTCCCCATGCTGATGTACCTGCACAATACGATGAGCAAGGCGTGCAGTGTATGCTCCAATGCCTACAGTCCTTCCTGTGACAAGGCAGTACGTGGGTACGTCATCGTATGCTGCCGATGTTTCCCCAGCAATCATTCCAGATCCTTGCAGGTTTTCCACACCGATATACTCATTCTGAAAGTAATCAGAGGTAAATCCAAACCGTAAGGCATGACTGTATATAAGATTGTATTAAAAAAAAAAGCGGCAGAGATAAACTATCGCTCTGCGTGTAATGTTTACAAGGCACGCATCATTGTGTTGATAAGAAGAACGACAACTTCAATATAACTTTTGTTTCCAGTAATCTTTTGAGCTTCCGCCATTTAAGAGATGAAAAAAGCATAGCCGCCAAAATACGGAAAAACTCGAAACCAAAGTCGAATTCAATAGAGAATGAAGATAGAGGAGTCATTTAATCACAAAAAAAAACTACTCCCACAACTAATAAAACTCAATTAAAAAATCAACAATATTTCTAAACGAACTGACCGGTTTTCCGATAATAGCCTTTAGACGCAGCAAACCATTTGGCAGCCTATCATACAGAATTTGTTCCTTTAGATTTTGCTCTTCACCTCCGTCGACATACAAATATTCAAAACCCTCCTCTGGGTGTGAAGGATCCTATAAATAAACAAGCAATCAGTGGAACGGTTAATAATGAAAAAAATAGCTCTCATTCGCGAACGAAACAAGAGAGACATTCTTACTGTCTTTGTCGTAAAATTCTCTCTTAAAAACATATTCACACTAGGAAAGCGCTCAGCATACCTTGAATTTTGCACGGAATGCTTTCGAAACATCCTCGCAAAGACCGATGCGAGCACCAGAATTGCATGAGACATTAACGCGAGGCAACTGAGAAAATGTTACTGAGGTAAAACTTAAAACGAGCATAAAAACGAATCGATGCAAATAAAAGAACGCTAGTAAAGGAGAAAAATGCTCTATGGTCGTATACGACAATCAAAAACAACAACTTGAACAACTTTTAGTACAAAAAAAGAAAAAAAGAAAGCAACAGCAGAGACTAGAATCAGGAACGAACTTTGTGTTTGCGACTATATTCAGAAGCTAAACTGTATAGTGTATCTTCCGGAGTAGCGAATGATCCCGATTGGAATGTGATATCATTTGCTATCACGATAATGGTATAACCACGAGGCTTCTCAGGAGTGTATAATCTTCAAACAAAATGCTTATATATGTATATATATGAAAAATGACATTAAAATAACACTGACCTCAACTTCCAAGCAACCATTCCAGCTTCGTTGTTGCAGTTATCAGCACGTTGTTTTAATTCGTCTTTATCCGAGATGTGCACGATTTCACCATTCTGAACCATAAGAGTATAACTGTCGTTGTTAACCAGTTATAGAAATTTTCAATTTGATATGTCACAGTTGCACAATTGCAGAGCAAAAAACAGCTTATCAGATGACATTAAGAGCTTAGACAAACATAAAAGTCAAGCAAATGCTTCAATATAGAGATCAGAATATGCGAGATAGAGTAATCGGCAGCAATGCCACTTAACATGCGCAAGGACCTCGTTCGAGTCCACACTGGAGCAACAAGATCCTTTGAGCCTTCGGGATCGATAAACTGGTGCCAGAATATTTTGTGATCAATTCACTCTCTCCAATTCACGAAAGAGCGACGAATACGTGTTATGAAGGCCTGAGAACGCTCCAACATGACTATTCGAGGATTGAAGTGAGAACGGAGTACACCACAATTGAAGGCCATTCACGTAGAAGACCAAATCCTCAAGCATCAGCAAAATCCACATGTAAATACGAGAACTTTCGTGGAATGATGAATGGAACAAGCACTGATCCGAAAAATATATGTGAACATATGTGATATCGGGTAGTGCAAGAATACTATTGACTAACGCAATAAATGCAATGCCGATTATACATGACCATTCACTATTCCGACGTGTTTTCGTGATCGCCCCGACCCGAATCACCTGGAGTGCAGGAGCGCTCGAATGAAGTATCCTCTCTCGGTTTTGAACAAGGTTATTTCGCTGAAAATATTTCATTCGAGGGCTGCATGAATGGCTGTGAACTATTTAATTTGGATCAATCGGCTCTGAAGAACATAAAGCTACCGGAGAATCCAAAGCACTATATTGATTAAAGAATACTTATCCATCACTCGACATTCTTCACAGTTACGTCCATTTGTCAATAAAGAAATTTGGAAACTATATACGTTACATTTCCTCCTTCTTATATGACTCCTGAGATCTCCCAATTTACGATTTCAGTGAGCAAATATTTCATTAGTATATGGTCTTCATAGCGTTACAATAGGAATAGCGTAGTTGGTTATCTTATACACTAACAGTGTTTGCCTAGTTTTTCTTATACTAATTAAAAGATTTCAGATTATCCCTTCACAAGGAAAACCATCAAAGTCCAGTAATGCTGTTCAGGAAGGTGTATTCCCAAAAAACGGCAATTTGGCGAACTTCTCCATACAATCTGCGCCTAACAGTACGTTGTGAATGTGCGGAAATGCATACATTTGATAGTAAAGCTCAACAGAACTCATTGCGAATAACACAGAAAACTGAATCAGTGAGAAAAAATACTGCATGATTACTTGTATGTGCAAAAAGATTTGTGTTTTGCTGAAGTTTACGACCTCTTAAGCACACGAGTAATGAAATGCTGCTAGTACATAATTTACGCAAAACTAAAGAGTATCACTGAACAAAACAGTCATATCTACCTGAGTCGAGCAATGATCTGGCAATAACCTAACTTGGAGTGTTTGGGTGGCAGAAAGAACATTCCGCTTCAATCCGAACACTTCATACAAACATTTCCCAGAAATATTTCATTAGAAGATAGAATCTGCACTTTTCGGCTCTGCGCAAAGCGCATGCGCCGTAACGTTGGCTGGATGCTTCATAACAACCTCGTCTTGGCTTAACAAATTTGGAAAGCACTGATTCATGTAAATTTTTTCACCGTCTTCATATTCGTCCCAGTACTACAAAGCAATAACTCAACTAGTCCTATATGGCATTATCTAAGTCAGAGTAAATGTTATGTTCAAAATGAAGAGAATGAAGATAGTTAATATTTTGAACAGTGCTAATAACAATTAAATGATGATCATATATTCTGTTTCATAAACTAAATATCGAAAATCAAGCAGATACTCAGTAGGATGGCGATACGGAAGAGAAAATATGAGTTCTTCCACATTCTAAAACCAACGAAGCGACTCGTCCAATCGCGAGATAGATGGAAATCATTTGCACCAATTCGAGCCATTCAATGGTGAGGGCAAGTAATAAAAAAAAAGTTTGGTTTACCCTTGAATATTGAGAATAGCCAGACCTAATTCGTTAAGAGTGGCAGATTATCAATCATGTAAAGTTGGGAATCTTACAAAAAATTATTAAACTAATGTTAGGTACAATAATAAAAATACCTTAACGACCAACTCTTCCTCGGAGAAAAATTGTCGATAATCACCATTGTTGAAAGCAGTTTGTTGAAGGTGTGTTAACATTTCGAACTGTCTAAGAAATGAAAACAGTACAAGTATTAAAGACAATACGAAGTTAGCTCTGTGACACTCTGAAAAGTTGTATCCTTAAAGGATTGTACTAACTGTTGGAAGAGGTTCCTCTCACACCCCTCTACCACACCCTCGCAACGGTCCTGCAATTTCTTCCACTCCTCGAGACATGCACGTCCAATCAAGGTGGGATAATCGTAAACGTATGTAGTCCCATTTGCCCTAGATATTAGCATTGATTCTTATGTTAATGAAATCTTGTAAATATAAACTGTAAAGATCTACCTAGTCGAGGATCGTTTCTTCTCAATTTTCTTGATCTTGGTGTGCGGTTCTAGCTTATTTTTGTAAAGCAAGTGGGACAACTTTTGTGGGAATATTATGGTCTAAAGTTATAAGATGTTGATTAAACTCGTGATGGAAATAATTTATTTGACTAACTGATTATTAAACAGACAACAGTGCCATCCCACCTTATATTCATCATAGATGCCGAACTCGGGAGTTACGCCGGTTTCGTCCAAGAATTTTATGCGACGCCGCCAGAGCTGACGAACTCCTCCATTTTCCGACAATTTGGTGAACACAATCTCCACCTTAATAAAACAAGTCTTATTTCTAAAATATTTCAGTATACTTGAAACAAAAGAACGCAACAGCACCTCTGTGACATGATGTTTGTACAAAACATCTCGCTGTTCCTTGATGGCATCTTCGAAAAGGAAATCAAGATCATTCTGGTGTTCTACTGTGAACGTTATTGGCATTTTCGGAAAGGTTACATACATGAAGACATGGTTTGACACAAAGATGTTCCTAAATCATTAAAATATAACACTAAAGAGAGCAAAACGCAACTACTACAGCGCTAAAAGAGGTTACACTACTCAGCAAGCATTTGTACAGCATTCGTTAATTTTTTTACCACTAGAGACACTACCATGCAAATATAAATAGATAGTTAAAAAATACCACAGTCCGGAATTGCTCCTGAAACATACCCACACTAATTATAAAAGAACACTACGAATGAAGAGTATGAGGACACACGACACAGCACAATTCACGAAATGCTGTCATTTATTTTGAGCACTTACTTCTTGAATTTGCGCATTGAAACGTTGATAGCTCCACAGGCACTATCAAGTTGGGCAGAAACAGTTGAACCAACAATATCAAGACTTAAAAACAGACGCTGACTACACTAAACTTTTAAATCGTGAAGTAAAAACACAGGAGTACTAGTAGATACCCTCCATCTATGCTTCTGATAGGGATTTCGAGAATTTGTCGCACAAAGAGCCTAGAGAAACGTTTGTCGGGATCATCATACTTAAAAACATTGAGATTTGACAGTCGATCAGAAACAAGACGAGATTCTTTGGGTAAACGCCACAACTCCAGACGCTCGGCACCCAACAGATCTACCTGTAAAAACTCACTACCTACGTCTGAGTGAAATAAGACAAACACTGATATGTTATCGGATGTAGTGAAAGCCAAAGGCGCACCTGCGTTAATGGCTTATAAGGACTGCAAACAAGCACGTGGGTAATAATATCTACAGCCACAAGTTTTTTTGCCAGTGCATTGCGAATTACGATCGAAGCATTCTCAGCCTCGGAAACAATCAGATCGTCATAATCCGAGTGAAACGGGAGTTCCTAAAATAGTGCATAAGCTTACATTGTTATGATTTACATGGCCACAACATACCTCAAGTTGAGCCTCACGGAAGCCTTTCTTGGACTCAGCGGGTGTAGTCTTTTGTATGACATTAACCAATAATGTCACACGAAGCTGTGAGCGGATACCGTTCGATTTTATTCCACATTCAGAGAATTTGCTCACTAACGAGTTAATCTATAAACTTTAATTAGTGTATGTTTCACAAGAGTAGTACTTAGCGAAAACTGCCATAACTCACCAAATTTTCGTGTGTTATTGCTTGCGCGAAATTGTCTTGGTTTACACTCAACTTGATAATAGATAAATACTGATTACTGTCTACACTAGGTGAGATCATATAGTGTCTAAAATACACTTGTATTTTTATTCACTCTAGAAAATTAAACAAGGTAGAGAGAAGAACATGAACTAACACCAGGTTAGAATTGTCAACGAAGAAGTCGTACACCTGCGCATCATGGTTAGGACACGAGAGAGCAGAACAAGTGACGTCATCAACAGCAAAATGCAGCCCAATGTAGGCACGAATGGCGAAATCAGCCAATTTCTCATCAAAGAAAAACTCATGTATGACTTTATGAATCCAAGGACTTGCGTTTAACATATCCTTTGGACTCATACCGTTATCCATCATTTGTGCAAAAATGCTTCGTAATTTGGAAACGGCTTCATTCACCGATAACACTTCTTTGGAGTCCCTCTCTGCCAGACTAACTTTTTCCATATCCCAAACAATCTATAAAAAATTCTCTGAGAGAGAGACAAACTTTAGAAATTCGGACGTTCAAAACTCGCCTTATTAAGGAACTTCCTATATTTTATTCGGCTGTTTTGCAATAGAAGTTGTCTCGCTTGATTGCACACTTCATCTGTGTGGAACATGTTGCCAATTTCCCGAAGATTTTCGATGAGCGGAGCAACCTGAATCTCGTACTTGAAACATCGTTGAAGGAAAGTGTTGTAAAAACCTACTACAGATGATGAAAGCACAAACGAACCAGATGAGCACCACGTTTTTCAATAGCTTTAAACAACGCTAACATCAACTTGTTCTTTCCTTTGAGCTGTGTATGTGAGTAAATCATAGCGACCACTCGATCCTTGTCAGAACCGAACTAAATGAAAAGAACAACTAAATGCACTATTCTGCATGAACATTTTTGGTTATCTAATGCTACATTTGTGCAGAAAAAAATTAATATAGCGCAAATTCCGAAGCATTAGCCCTATAAATGACCTTCCACTACTAGCTTAGAACGAGATCTTAGTGGATGGGTTCATCTTAACGGCCATCTTCCACCGAACCTAACATATACACCAACAGACTAAGTACTGCGCTAACAACTACCACTCTTTACAGTGCAAGGCTTGTATAATCTTCAGATAATTCAAAACATGTCTTCCTTTTAAAAGTGACTATCCCAATCACAGAAAATACCCTCGCTTCCTTTCATGTTGTCCTTGGTGAAGGTATTCTGGTCCGTCAACAGTTTTATTCATGGTCAGGAACACCACAGATAAATTCTGTATTTCTGAAAGTCCCTTCAAAGTTTTTGAAAAAAAAGACCACACACTAGGCCTAGAAATGCATTCGAAGAAAGGTCGTTTCGGCAAGGTAGCAATTTAATAAACTACGAAAGTAGTACTGGCAACAACGAAGAAGGCACCTATGGATCACTACGGAAAACAAGATCTAAGCAAAATCATCATATGGAGGATTAAAAAGGCATTATTAATAACTTTAGTTTCAATTTAAGGCAATACTAACCTCATCATTCAGCAGAGCCACTGCGTCATCATAAACCCGACCCTCGAAAAACTTCTCACATTGCTTGTATTCAGAAAGAAGAGAATTCAGTACATAACTGGTATTTGAAAGAATTCCATTCTCAAATCTGCAAAAAAACGTTCTATTTTAGTAGACTAAAAAATAGCTGATTACCTTATGAACATCTCCTACCTTTCGCAGATATGGTAAGCCATGTTACAAACAGCTTTAGCTGTTTCCCACTCTGTATGGCTTAGTGAACCGAAATATTCGTCGAGAATTGACTGAAGCACACATTGGCTGAGTTCAGCAAAAATGATAGAAATGTAATACGGTAGAACAAGATCAGTTTTATTTCCATTCATAAGCGAGAAATCTGAACAACCTTGACCAATGCGAAGTTCCTCATAGATTCTACTTGGACAGTATCCTTGATTCGTGAGGAGAATTTTTCGGGAAGGCGATTAACCATTGAGCTAAGAGCTTGCTAAACAAATGATAGCAAGAAATAAGTGAGAATACTGTTGAATAATGCTTCATTTGAACAAACTTTGAAAAGCGCATATGGCAAGGTAGGGCTCTCGAGGTAAGAAAAAAGTTCATCAACAAGATCGGCCATGCAAAAGTCAGCTCCTGGTGGGATTGAACCATTTAGTACATTCATACACATCTGAAAATTGAACCAAAAAAGCGAAGTCAAGTTATTTAGTTTCATTTACAACACAACAAACAGAATTCGTCCTCCATTTTTAGGATAGCTTCATGCTTCAATGGCAAAAAATATTAATATATTCTTCAAACTTACATCGAAACATATGTTGTGCCTTTTCGTTTCAGGAAGAACACGCTCGTTCTCAGAAAATTCGGCCCATTCAGGAAATGTCTCTAAAAATGGTTTTGGCTTATACTTCTCGCCATCCTTCTGATCGACAAGACGAGCAATGACCGATCCAGGATATAACAAATCCCCTTCCTTGGCAACATGCTCAAGTCTGTAACACTGTCAGTTATTTGCCACACATGAAATACAACCCTGAAAACTTCGAGCTCAGAGCGCACCTTCCAGGAGCCTTCTTCACCTCCACGTTGAACACGAGTTTCATGGATTCGACTGAAGCATATACCGAACCAACACCGACCCATTCCTAACGAGATATTTTATAATCAAAACTAATAAGGTCAATTCGGTGACCAGCAAGATCAGAAAATGTAATTAATATATGGACACTTACTCTATTAGCCTTTTTATACGTGAGCAACTTTCCTGTATAAGGGGACTTTAGTATAGTAGGATCATTATCCTTTTCGAAGACAACAATCGATCGTCCAATTGTGACCTAAATTTGAAACAACATAGCAAGAAATCAAACTGCCACCACCACATCATACCTTAAACTTATCAGACGTTTCTTCAAGGTTGCAAGTGTAACTTCGTTCTTGGTGAGTAACAAGCAAGCTGCCATCACCGAGAAGCCGAATTTCGACTTGGGTTTTCCCACCATTTAAAGTGACTATGTAATTCAGTGGTCCACTGCGCGTAACTATCACTTTGTAAATGTTCATATCTTTTACAAGATCGAAAAGAAATGTCTCTGTAAGATCCTTGGTAGGGAGGACCTATAAAAAGAGGTATGTAAGCACTTTGGCTGCAAAAAAAAACTACATGCATGTAGTTATGAAAACACCGGACAAACTACCAAATGCACTTAAACAACTGTACAAACCTGTCCCCGCTCAACGGCATTTTTAAAATTGTTAAAAGCTGTTGTTACTCTGGCATGACCAATAACCGCACTACTCACGGCGACCATTTCATGTTTCGGGAGTGGTGCTTTCTAGAAAGCTCAAAATTGAGAGAAAAACGACATATAGGAAAAAAAAAACGGACTTGAAGAACTTTGTTGGCAATACGATTATCAAGCCACTGGGTATTGAAGCGATTTTCTGTAAAATCCGGTTCTTTGAGCATGTCTACCAAGTATGACACCTGTGAGGAAAATGAAGCACGCAGTTCCAATTCCTGTAGGGCACATAACATCACAGATACAGCTTCATGACTGAAAAGACTTAGTACCACACAACATAATGTGCAATATATAATCAAGACCTTCGTGTTTACCGAGTACGACCACGAGCGAAAAGGTGACCAAATTGAGAGTCGGCAAATTCATGAACTTTACCAGCGCTAGACACGGAAAAGTAACCCCATACGTTCTGAGCTGATCGAAAGTTCAGCACTTCGACGGATCCCGTAGAAGGTCGGAAAAAATCTTCAGGATCCTGAAAGCTCGATTTTAATAATTAAGTTGCCTGGAAACTAATGCCAGATTCTCTTTCCCTGCATATTCTTTAGCCATAGATTTTCCTTCAACCACATTATTATTTGAGAGCATTGAGGAGCTTATTTTATGCATTTTCGACCGTTATAGTTGAATTATAATAGAAATTGCGTTTCTACAAATTTTACAGGCCAAAAATTTTAAGATAAGTCGCAACTTTAGAAATTATATAGGTAAGAAATTGGGTCAGTCATTTCGACAGCTTCACAGTTACAAAATCAGACTCCTTCAGACGCAACCCATACGGCAGAAAATATTAATGACGTATAGGAGTAAGAAAGTGATAATGAATGCACTGCGCGACGTTGGTTTCAAGAAATTCGCTGAGACCAATTCAACGTTGAAGATGAAGAAGGTCAAGGTCGTTCACCTGCTACAGAGGCACAATGAACTGAAGGGCTTGACGGAAGGAAGTATACGCGCAACTGTTCCAAAACTTGCAGAACTGGTTTTAAGCATCTGAAACGTTCCGAAGAGTTTAGAGAACAATGGAAAGTCGAAGAGGTTCGACAAATGGATGCCGTAAGAATTAAATGACAACCGAAGAAATCGTCGTTTGCAGCTCGAGCAGGTTCATCTTCTACGTAACCAAAACGACACGCTTGTTTATCGTATTGTGACGTGCAAAAACGAATTATATACGATAAGTGGCTATGATCGACTGATCAGATCAAAATGAAAATTAGCAGCACTTCACAAAGTAGAAAAAGCATCAAAACGAAACTATGTTGCCTTGTTGAGGTGTAGGTAGTTTGATCTATCACAGCTTCCTGGACCTCTGTGAAACTACTACAGCAAAGAAATATGTATTATAGAACAAATCAACGAAGTGCAACACAAAGTTTAACGGCTGAGCCTCTCATTGGTCAGCGAAAAGAACCCAGTACCTCTCCAAGAAAAAGTGCGGCCACACAACGCACAATCAACGGAACAAAAGTTGGACGATGTGGGCTAGGAAACCGTATGTCATCCACATTTCTCGCCAGACTGGCAGAATGATCATCACTTTCGCTTTAATGTAACCGGTATGAAAAAAGATGTTTACTATTATAACAATTAGCTGAATTTGGCGGCTTTTATTTCAATTAATGGAATTTATTCCGAGTTGCGACATGCCATTTCTGAAATGCGACATTAATTTCCCGACCACCCAAAAACATGGTATAGAACAATATACGAATTGTTTTCCACACATTATAATCCTAGTTCTCGGATGTCCCTCACAAAGTGATTTCCTGCTGGTTAGTCGCGAGGCAACGTGGCGCGTTCACAGGTGGGAGACACAGGATTAATCGCGGACCAAAAACGACTTCAGGTTTTCCTCGGACGTAGGTAGACCCACAGGATGGATTCCTTTTTTCTGATGCGCGATTTGGCACACACCTGTCTGCGAGAAAGTATTCAAGCATGTGCGTGCGTGTGTGTTCTCGTTTATGTGGATTGTACTCCACGAGTCAATTCGGCCAAAACCCTACAATCAAGTGACTGAGAAATGCATAAGAGACGGTTAGGAGTGTCCTCCAACAAATAAGCTCCTCATCCACTCTGCGAGAGACTGGCAAGCTACCCGTGAGCATACCCAGCCCCAACGTTCGGAGCCCAGCAAGCTATATGTGGGTATCAAGTGCTAACCACACTAAAATAAGTGGGCCCGATTTCTCTGATAACGAAAGAGCTCCAAAACGGCAGCACTGAAGATGACGAGTGAGGAGAGGCTGCTGAAATCTCAGGCTCATTCTAGGCCGCCTAAACCTCAAAGGACTAAGGCGATAATCTGTACCTAGAATGCACGCACTCTTGCATCTGAGCCCTCGATAGAAGACTTGATCATGCAAACAAGAATGATAAGCCATGACGCCATCGGACTGAACGAGAAGGGAAAACGCCACCCATTCAATGCCGACTAATACGCCACAGGACTGCTCCTCGGAAAACACGACGGTAGAGGAGTTGGCATTTCGGCGTTCTCGTCAAAACGAAATTGGCCACGAACATCGATGCATTGAAATCACTAACAACCCTAATCGAACTTGCACGATTGAACAGATGTCGATCAATCCTGGCTTTGACAATTTTCGTCGTTTATGAACCGACATCCAGATATGACGAAGACGAATTCGAAGCGTTCTACTTGGAGAAGTTTTCTAGAGAAAACCATGCATTCTTTAAGGTTATCACTGATGATTTCAACGCAAAGATCGGACAGAGAAGAACGTCTGAAGAACGTCACATTTGTAGCCACCAATTAGACTAGAACGAGCAGAGCGAGCGGCTGTCTGAGTTTATTACAACGACTAGAGCATTCATGGTAACTCACAATTCCAGAAACCTCATTCTCAACGCTGGACGTGGGACTCTTCCAATAAAGAGTACCACGACAAAAGCGATATTATAGTAAATCAACGGTTTTACCTAATCGATGTCGCCGCTATTCCAAAACTACACGATCAGAGTATCGCCTTCCTTGTGCAAGATTTCAGTTCTCCCGCAAGGGAAAAGCCGCTAAATTAAAAAAAGAAGCGAATTCCCAAAACCACCATAAATTGAGATCTAAGCAAACCAGTAGTGGGTTATTGGTAAGATGCCGTTCTTGATAATACAGACAAGGACAATGACTGGCCTACTCAACATTTTCACGTTAGCCCTATGAAATCTGAGAGTTTGAAGCTTCCAAGAGAAGTCTTTTTCCAGAAGCACTCTAGCTGATAAGCCAATATGGAATCGTACAAGCTAAAGGCAGCCGCAAGCTAATGTCCAAACTTGTCAAACAATTCATACAGGCGATAAAAGATTTTTAAGAGAGAAGATCAGCAGCTATGGACGGCTCCGCAGAGGCTGCGAAAGGCATTTGCCATTTGTAAGGCACACCGAAACTTCGAAAATTACAAAACCAAGACAACTGCACTAACCCTAGATGGAGCGGCCGCAGCTTCCAGAAAGGCAATCTAGAAAATAATTCACCATTACTACTCAGATATCTTCAATAGCCACATCCTCTTCGAACATATGCAATAGAGGATAATCGAACAACACCTGCGCTGGCCAGGACAAGATCTGAACACCTAAAGAACCTTCTGCTAGGCCTTATCAACGCAGTGGCTCGGTTCTTCGCACGTTAGTCGTCTCAACGCAAGATTCCAACTCAGTGCAAGACCAGCAAGTCCGTGCTATTATTCAATAAGGATGCCCTCGACGATATCGGCAACTATCTCCCAATCTACTTATTGTCGTCTACAAACTTTACACTCTAGTTATTATAAATTGATAGACCACTGGGCGATGGACAGCCATATGAGCAGACTAGGTTTCGAAAAAGATTCATTATGATGAACCACATCCACATGATAGCGATACCATGATATCGGTAACAGTACAAGGGACCATTCTGTTTGACTTCCATTGACTTAAAGAAGCTATCGATTCAGCTGAGATAGAAGCAGTCAAGGAAACCCTGGCGTCTCTACTCAGTGCGCATATTCAACGTCAGCTATATAAAATTTCTCACAACCAAATAGCATCATTGCTATTAACGATACTGATATCGACTGAAAAGATGGCTTAGGAAAGATGACATCAACTTGCCAAAATTACTGCCCCCTCCAGAACGTCACACAAACATGGAAACGGGACAACGTCGGAGTAGAATCCAAAAGTCGATGACCGATTGTTATATCACCTTCACTTTGCTGATGATGTCGTCCTTATCAAGTAACAACAAAGTGAAACAAATGCTAGCCTACCTTAATATAGCTTGCGGAAAGGTTGTTCTTTGAGTAAATCCCACAAAAACGATGTTCGTGAAGAACGGAATGGTTTTGCATGTCCTATTCATTGCTCCAAGCTATACCCATCTAATTCGAGAAGTCAACATGATGAACGTCTCAGCTCTAGAGTCGACCGAGAGGAAGAGAGCGACTTAGGGTGCTTTGAACAGCATCGTAGATGTAGTAAGGACAACAAGGAACACTCGATTCCGTGTCTACCTTTTCGACTTCATAATTCATGCTACACTAACGCAAGCGTCAGAAACCTGAGCAAAATGAAAGACCGCCCACCGTTATAGAACGTACGGTCGAAAGTACGACGCCATCATGCAATTAAGATAGGAGCTCCAAAGCTAACGCGTACGTCAACGATCAAAACTCAAAGATGCCGTTCTATACGCCAAACTATCGAAGATAAGGTGAGTCGGACACGTAATACCTATGAACGAGAGCCGTTAGCCATTGGATTCCTCGGGATGTTAAACGCATAATTGGAAGACCGCGACAGAGAAAAATGTTACATTTAGTAGTGCCCATTCTAGTCACTCGATGACCAACGGGAAGAGAAGTAATACGGGTGGTATATATATTTATACATATATTATATATATATATATATCAATATATGAAGCATATATACGTGTGCGCATACGTATACGTATACGGATATATATATATATATATATATATATATATATATATATATACATCCAACGGTTTACCACGTCATCGTGGCTGGAAGGTATTCCTAGGTGTCGGACTGCGATGTATAGCGGGGCACTCATTCCGTGGCAAGATCTCCCAAGCCGAGGAGTCCGGCCCTTATAACAGAAAGTCTAGCTAAGAGTAAACCAATACCAGGATCCACCACCGTCCTGGTACCGAACTAAATGCATGGTGGCAAACCACCCTCTGATCCACAAGGGCCGCAACTG